TAAAAGGAACAATTTGCACATTAGAAAGCAAAGTGGACCAATGCCGGCCTGTTGACTCAGCACCATGTGACCATTTGCAGTGACAGCTGGGGTGAGTGTTCAGTGAAGTGGATAGCAGGCTACTTCGCTCCTCTAGAAGTACATCCTCCTTCTGAGTACCCGGCTTTGAGACTCAGCTCTGCTCCCAAGTCCGTCTTCTTGTGATGCTCCTCCTGTGAGGCAGCAACGGATGGCTCAAGTTGCTGAGTCACTGCCACCCACAGGGTAGATTCAGATTGAGTTCAGCTCCCATCTGACCCAGCCCCAGTTGCTATGGATATTTAGTGAGTGAACCAGTATTTGAGAGATTTCTCTTTGACCACCTCTCTCTTCCTCTCTCATGTAAGCAAATATTTTTAAAATTATAATTAACAGAAGTGTTAGGTGTTTGTACTATGACATATGCTATATGAAACACAAATACAAAATTATATATTATGGGGCTGGTACAGTGGCATAGCACACCAATGCTTTGCCTGCGACACTGGCATTCCATATGCCATTCATGAGCTGGCTACTCCATTTCTGATCCAGCTGATGGCCTGGGAAAGCAAGGAGGATGCTCCAGAGCCCAGGCACCTGCACTTATGTGGGAGACCTGGAAGAAGCTCCTGACTCCCGGCTTTGGACAGGCCACGCTCTGGTCATTGCAGCCATTTGGGGAGTGAACCAGAGGATGGATGATCTTTTCCTCTCTGTCCTTGTCTCTGAAACTCTTTCAAGTAAAACAAATAAAATCTTTTTTTTAAAGATTTATTTTATATTTATTGGAAAGTCAGATTTATAGAGAGGAGGAGAGACAGAGAGGAAGATCTTCCGTCCAATGATCCACTCCCTTAATGGTTGCAACGGCCAGAGCTGAACTGATCCAAAACCAGGAGCCTCTTCTGGGTCTCCCACATGGGTGTAAGGTTCCAAGGCGTTGGGCCGTCCTCCACTGCTTTCCCAGGCCACCAGCAGGGAGCTGGAAGGGAAGCGGGGCCACCAGGATTAAAATTGAAACCCGTAAGAGATCCTTGCGTGTTCAAGGTGAGGATTTTAGCTGCTAGGCTACTGTGCCAGGCCCCTAAAATCTTTTTTTTTAAAGCCTTAATAAAATTATATATTATAATGTATTTGTGAAAATTATTATGCCTGTGAACAAGTCTGAAAGGTAGCATAGAAAAATTCTCTTCTAATTTAGGGTAATTTCAGGCCACATTTTTCCCTTTCCAATTTTTTTCTTTAAAGTTGGTATTAGAAAAGATAAAGTTTTTAAATAAAGTTGGTAATAGGTTATGTTCATTGTGTAAGAGTGAGTTAAAACAAAATGGTACATGGAGTCTGATCTCTGAACTGAGGTTAAAAGAATCTGCGGGGTCTTTTTTTTTCCCCCAAAGTAATATGCATTATTGGCCTCCATAAGCCTTCATTTCCCCATCTGCATAATGGGTTAACCCAATTTCCTGTATCCCAGATGGAAGAGATGTTTATTTTATAAAGCTTTTAACTCACTGGATGCAAGGGTTCCTCCAAATGCGGTCCTAGGAGAATGGAAGGCAGGGGGAGAGGAAAAGATAAATAGGCACTAATTAATTTTAAAAGGAAAGATCATCTGCTTTAATCGGATATGCATGTGTACCGTGCCCCTAGTCAGAGCTGTAGATGCACTCCGTGTTAGTTAGCAACTTCAATTTAAAGCGCTGTGTGATCCTCTGGGCTTTGAAGATGGAAGGCCTGTATACATACACAGGAGCTCAAACTACCTCGTGGTCGCAGGATCCATGCACCCTGAATAATTAAATGCGCCGAGCAGCTCCTGCTGATGGACCGAGGAAGCCATGGAGGCGTTTGAAACCACGTGACGCGCGATGTGAGGAGACATTTTGCGTTGAGAGTTCTAGCTCTCTGGCTTGCTCATCCACTGTGCTTTCTCTTGTCACCATTACAGGCAAGGAAAGGAGATCTGATTATCTCGTTTCCTGTGAAAAGCTATTTAGCTCCTCAATCCTATTAAAGTCACTTTTCTGCACTCCAGTGCACTGAGCCTTGCCCAGGTTATCAGCCCAGGAAGAGTAAATGGAGAGCAGGATCAGATTTCCAAAGGAAGGAAAGTTGAAGCAAAGTTTGAAAGGGGTGACAGCCAACAGCCAGGAGCTTAGGGACTCAATTAGACCGAAAGACAACTATCTCATTATCTCATTCGGCAATGATCTAAATACATAAGAATCTAAAAGTTTTAAATAAACTTGTCCTACTGACTGTCTAGATGACTGAATTTCCCTTCTCAAAAAAAATTTTAAACACCCACTTTCGTATTTATTTATTCTAAGCAGGGTAGCAGCTGCGATAATTATGCTGTCAGATTCAGTAACTAATGAGGAGTCACCAGAGTGGAAGATTTTGCATTTGTGAGATTGCCGAAGGAGAGCCACGCTCTTCTTTCTTCTTTCATTCTTTCACTGTTTTTCTTCACCTCCCCCCTTTCCTTCTCTTTTGCTTTTTCTATGAGTTGGGAAAGAGTCTGGCAGACCACCGCCAAATCGAAATCCTTTTGATTAACTAGTTGCCTTCCCAGCGTTATTCTGCCAAATGATTCCTTCTCTCTCTCTCTCTCTTTCTCTCTCTCTCAGACACACACACACACACACACACACACACACACACTTCCTGTTTTACAGAGTCTGCTATTTGGAGGGGCAGGAAAGCCTGGGGGAAGTCCCAGCCTTGCCTGCCACTGTCCCACAGGCCAGAGGGCACTCTGTGCTGAGAGAAGACCCCAGACAGTTTGGATTTGAGAGTCCTCTTGTGACATGTGCACACCGTTTATTTTAGCTGTGCAACTTTCAGGCCACAACATGAACCAGAAGAAAGGAGCACCCAGATGTGCAGCTTGTCCCAACACAGTTGCACACCTCAGCAAGATCTGACATCTCCACATCCCAGCCTAGTGGACCTGTGTCCTTAGGCAGAGGAGAAGCCACGGACATAGGTCGCCCACAGCACTCACGGCAGATGTATAGGCCCAGCAAAGCAGGTTTATTTCATGCTTCAGGATGTGAGAGGTTTCCAGCCAACAAGATTATGAAAGCACTTACTGCTTTTGGAGGGTCAAAAGATGGAAACATAAATTTCTGGTAAATTGTGAGAGGTTTTGAGTAACCCGTATTTGAGTGGACTGTGAAGAAATGTCCAAGTGAAAGAAGGACCTGAGTACCTCTCTCGGTGGTGCTGGGTCACACTGGGGTTTAGTTTAGGATTTTCTTGATGCTGGGAAGGTATGGAGGCCATAGGCATGGAGTAGTAACTGCAGTCAGCCCTCGATATCTACCAGTTCTGACTCAGGGGGGTGTCACCAAGCTTGGGGTCCATCACTCACAGTCTACTAACTGGATTTCACTCACCAGGTGTTTCTGGAAAACAACTTGCATCCATGCTAAACATAGAACATACCTGTCATGCTGCTATTTCCTAGACATTACCATATCACAACTATGTACATAGCATTATGTGGTAAGCTTTCCCAAGTCATCTAGAGATGATTTAAAGACACAGGAGGGTGTATATGGGCTCTAGAATGTGAAGAACTTGAGCACACACAGACATTGGCATCCTCAGGAGACCTCAGAGATTGAGAGATGACCATTTCACATTTTGACCTTTTCCTAAGCTGATAGTAGACTCAACATTGGGCAATCTGAAGTCAGGTTGATGCGAGGGTAGATAATCCATATCCCTCAGGATACTGAGCTGCTGAACTGGGGTGAAGCATATCAAAGGCATTTTCCACTTGTGTCGAGTTTATGAAAATGTAACCTCACTGTGCATCAAGCAGCATCTGTACCTAAATCGAGAGGTAAGGTTCCAGGACGCCACACGGTGGCCTAGTGGCTAAGGTCTTCGCCTTAAACATGCCAGGATCTCATATGGGTGCCAGTTCTAATCCCGGCAGCCCCACTTCCCATCCAGCTCCCTGTTTGTGGCCTGAGAAAGCAGTCAAGGACAGCCCAAAGTCTTGGGACTCTGCACTCACGTGGGAGACCCAAAAGAGGCTCACGGCTCCTGGCTTCAGATTTGTGCAACTCTGGCCACTGCGGCCACTTGGGAAGTGAATTAACAGACAGATGATCTTCCTCTCTGTATCTCCTTCTCTCTTCTCTTTGTAAATATGCCTTTCCAATAAAAATAAAATAATTTTTTTTTAAAAAAAGAGGGAAGGTTCCTATACACAATGGCAACCAGGATTGTTTCTAATTTACAGAAATTAAATAAATTGCCTAAAGCATATAATGGGATTTGAAAGTTTCCATAAGTATCAAACCAATATGATGTTCTTTGTCATCATCAGAGCCACAGTCTGGACGTCTAGGCGAGCCATGTACTCCCTTCCTTATCTGGTTCAAACCTCTTCTCCACTTTATCTTCTGCTTTGTCTTGCTGTGGCCACGCAAAATGATCTGGTGTCCTCTCCAATGCTCCTCTTCTTCCACACCTTCACTCATGCCAATCCCTCAGCCAGGATTACTCTCCCTGGAAGTCCTTCAAGGCCCAAGCCTTCAAGCCCTTCAAGGCTCCAAGCCTATGATTTCCAGTGCTCTGTAGTAGATTCTGGTAGAGGAGTTAACCTGATTCTTTGCTTGCACCTCACTTTGGTGCTTGCATGTGTGTGGGTAGGGGGATGTGGATGTGTGTGTCCCAGTCAGTCCTATCCCTAGCTTTGTCATTTTCACACCTAGCATGATGCCTTGCCCAGGTATTCAGCTGGCAAATACACATTGAACCAAATTAAATAGAAAGCATTTGACAACTCTCAATAGATTCAATAAAACGAGTCACACGAGTCAATATAAATGATTGGTAAATATATGTGGCTCATTTTTTTGACATCTCTAGTGACAAATATTACAACAGACTTAAATAAATACACTGTGATAGATCCCAGGAACTAATGTGTTGATGTTGTTCTCTTTTCATCCCTACAGAGGAGTCTTTGTTTACAGTTTCAGGAGTGAGACTAAAGCCAGAAATGTGTGACCTCTTGGTCTCCTACCAGAAAGGTCACCACCCAGCCGGGTTTAGCAAATGCTGGTGAAAAGACAGGACGAGGTCCTGAAGACCATCCCAGGTAAGTGGTCCCAACTGTGCTGTCCCAAGCATGAGGTTGCTATGGACAAAACTGAAACACAATTGCTGACAGATGGAGGGACATTGTCACTGACCCAGGGAACCTCTATTCTGTGTGTAGCCCTCCAGCTGCAGTTTTAGGGATAGATGGCCTAGCCCTTCAGGCTTCCCTGTCCTGACCTGGGAAAACAAAGGATGACAATAAGCCTTACTTCTCTCTCCCACATCTGGAGCAGCCAGAGGACTCCAAAGGTAAAGCTCCCAGATTTTGGCTAGACCCTCCCCAGACTCATTGCAGTGAAGAATTGCAGCTGGCACTGTTTTCCTTCACCTGGTAGTTCTCTCTGCTCACTGACAAGACAAAATCAGATGCAAGGGTAGTCAGCTACCCAGTGAGTCCCAGACCCAGGATGTCCCTGGATGCAGGATGTTGGATGCTGAAATTGGCACAGGCCTAAGTAAATCATGACAGTTGGTCATTTTACTGGTGCAAACGAGTTTCCAAGGTCATTTTTTAAAAAAAGCTTTATTTTTTATTTATTTAATTTTTATTTTTATTGGAAAGGCAGATATACAGAGAGGAAGAGAGACAGAGAGAAGATCTTCCGTCCAATGATTCACTCCCTAGGTGACTGTAACGGCCAGTGCTGTGCCAATCCAAAACCAGGAGCCAGGAACTTCTTCCAGGTCTCCCACGCAGGTGCATGGTCTCAAGGCTTTGGGCCCTCCTTGACTGCTTTCCCAGGTCATAAGCAGGGAGCTGGATGGGAAGTGGAGCTGCCAGGATTAGAACCGGACCCCATGTGGGATCCTGGCAGGTTCAAGGCGAGGACCTTAACCACTAGGCCCCTCACCCTAGTGTCACTCACATGGCAGAATTCAACTCTTGGCCACTTTCTCTTTGAGCTCTACCGTTAGCTGTCACTATTTAAAGACATACACATCAAGGCTGTCTGGCTCTGGTTCTTCAACAATGATCTTGTTTTAAAGAACAAGAGAGTTTAAAATTATTACCGTCCCCCTTGAAGCCTTCTATGGAATACTTAACTTTGTATTCTGACAACATGCCATTGGACTTAGAATCAGCAGGGCAATGATAGGGGATTTCCAAAGCTAAATATTCTCTGGAACACTTTTTACTATGGGTAATTGTGCCATTTCAAACACACTGGTCATGAGAACAGGATGAACTTCCACTTGAATCTATAAAGTGAAGTGTTTGCCCCTCATATAATGATCAAAGACACTGATGGGAACGGTCTCAGGTGATGGTGCCCCTAAGCATTATTATTATTCCTATCTTTGTTAGGGCTTTTGTTTTCCTCAGCAGTCAGGAGAGAAGCATCTCACCCAGTCTCTCTGATCTACAGGGGCCTTACACAAACAATTGTTACCTGTAGACATAAATTGGTCACAATAGAAAATCTGCTCTAGGCAGCCTGACAGGCTCAGTGCCTGTGCCATGAAGAAGGGAGGAGACAGATTGAGCCCCTCTTGGTGTAATCTCCTCATGTCCCTAGGCCTTGAAACTCAAATAAGGAGATAAAAACCAGCAGGGGATGAACCACAACAGGGGAAAGCTAGAGCAATTAAATGGTTTAATAAATGGCTTGAAACACGCAAAATCTGAGCGTGCCAGAGTTAGAGACTAAAAGCCGTAATCACATGGACACTGGGGGCCTGTAAATCTTTTCCATTGGATTGAATTTGTGTTAAAATATTCACTTTTCAGGAGGCTCAAAATGTAAATGGAGGTATTAAGACTTGATAACTGGCAGCAATTCTTGAAAATTAGACTTTTGAAGGATCTTCAAAATGTCAATTTTAGACATGGGGAAATAAAAAACGTGTAATTGATGTCTATAACAGAGAAGTCAAGGGGAAATGAAGTTGCCATGTGCCCAACCCACCAGTTGGCACCTAGGGTTTCCAAGTTTGCCATACTTGGAACAGTGGAGTATGGTGAGTTCCAACTGCAGTTTGTCCATCAGGAGATAGATTGTGATGATTAACTCCTTAATTCTTCTTACTAGGGACAAGATGCTGCCTCCCTTGTATTTTATCATTCCATTTTCTATCAACATAGTTCCATCACCAAATGCCAAATGTCCCACAGATTTTTCTTACTAGAAATGTACTCTGCTGTTCATGACTTTGAACTTGCTTATTCTCCATTCCCTTGCAGGGCTACATTCCTGCTATTTCCATTTTCCTTCACTTCTGCTTACTAAGAGGCTTTCAACTCTAACTCCAATCTGGGCCAAAGGTTTTCTACATCACCTGTGATTAGGAAGATTTTAACAGGACTTCAAGGCCATGATAAATCATACTTGAAGAAAAAATAGCGGAAAGTTACCGTTATTGTCATGTGCCTAGAATTTACCAAGTGATTGACCCAGAAGCACAGACAGTGTTGAAAGGAGGACTTCTGAATAATTTCACCCATTTTTGTCATTTGAGAGAATGCTGGGCCAGAAGGTCCATTTCCCAAGAGGCAGATGGGAGACTAACCATTGAGAGAATCTAGAGCTGGAGTGGCCTTCCAGAGCCTGTCATTCCTGCATTCACTTAGAATTCCCCCAACAAAAGGACTGCTGTGGCAAGGAAGGGATTAGGCCAAAGGTCAGAAAAGTCTCCAGGGAAGATGGCTTCTTGGATAAAGTTGTCAACAAAAGAATTTGCTCAAGACTATTTGTTGTGACTTCCTAGGGGGCGCTTCTTCCGTTACTAACTGGATTATCAGAACCCAGACATCAGGAGATGGGATTGAGCTGTCCCCTACCACTGGATGGGAACTGTGGTGATGGCAGAAGGGCTGAGGGCAGAACATGGTCATTTGGTGGTGAAGAGCCTGAACTGGTGGAGAACAAAGTTTCAGAGATGTGATCCAAGCCCCCTGTTGCGCCATTGGCCACACCTGCACACGCATTAACACACAAGTAAAAGGAAAAATTTGACACAGCAAACATGTGGTATTTTTGTTTTTCTGTTTTTGTTTTTACAATGACTCCTTATGAAAGAAGCCAGGGCAGCTCAAATTACTTCTGTAGAGTGATCATTTCAGGAAATATAGTAAGTAGCCTAGAAAGCAGAGACCACTGAACATGTATATCCTTTAGAAGAAAAATGAGGAACTAATTAACAGAGAACTTAAAAATAGTAACTATCCTCCCATTGTATGCAAAGAAGAAGCATATCCTGATAGTGCAAAGAAATCTGCCTTAATAAATATCTGATTATAGACAGGCCTTTGGAAAGCCCATCCAGATAGATCTGAGAGATGAGACAGTGTGCCCTGGGCATTGAGAAAGATGGGCATGCTCCAAGCACTACGGTCACTCACAAAGACTGATTGTGGTGCCGTACACATCCAATCTTAGGGTCCTACCTACCCGAGGTAAATAGTGTTACTAATCCCTTGGAGAAAACCAGACAAAGTACATAGCCTATTCAAACAACTCATTTTACTAAGGTCTATTATTAGTTTATTCTGTGTTACAGAAGAGGAGCCAGAGGCCCAGCAAAGTGAAATAACTTTTCTGTGGTGGCATCCTGGGGTCTGGAGGTAGATCTCAGATCTGCTCATCTCCAGTATGTGTGAGTTCTTTTGAAGCAAGCATATTCCTAGTAGATTTGTGTCTTGTAAGAATTCGGGAGAGGTAGCCAATAGTTAGCATTGGACCATGATTCAAAAGACAGCCCTCTCTAGAAGCTAAGGAGCAACAAGCCAAAGCACCATATATTCCTATCGGGATATATCTGACTTAAATTCTTACATTTGAGCTTAAGACATTTATAACTTCATAAGACTATGACTTTGTGGAAAAGTATAATCTGACCATCCCCCAAAGGCAAGGCTAATCCTTTCAGGCTACATAAGTGAAAAATCATCTTGTATCTAACAAGGAAGTTTGTTTACTGTCTCATGATTGAATCACATTTCAATTATTATTATATTCAGTTGCATATACTGTATTTTAAAAGGCACATATTAAAGTAAGTATTTCTTATCAATACATCTATTCATTTACAAGTCTAATTCTGTTTAGTCCCTTTTTTAAAAATTTATTTTTCTTGAAAGTAAAAGTTATAGAAAGAGAGAGGGAGAGACAGAGTTCTTCCACTCACTTGTTTACTCTCTAAATGGTCACAATGACCAAAGCTGGGCCAGTCTGAAGCTGTCAGGAGCTTCTTTGGCGTCTTCAGAGTGGATACAGGAACCCCATGCCTTGGGCCATCTTCCATTGCTTTTCCAGGCCATTAGCAGGGAGTGTGATCAGAAGTAGAGCAGGGCCTGGTACCATAACGTAAGGTTAAAGTCCTCACCTTGAACGTGTGAGGACTTTATTGGCACCGGTTCTAATCCCAGCAGCCCTGCTTCCTATAGCAGCTCCCTGCTTGTGGTCTGGGAATGCAGTCAAGGACAGCCCAAGGCTTTGGGACCCTGCACCCGCATGGGAGACCTGGAGGAGGAAGCTCTGGTATCCTGGCTTCAGATTGGCTCAGCTCCAGACGTTACAGTCACTTGGGGAGTGAATCATTGGACGGAAGATTTTCTTCTCTGTCTCTCCTCCTCTCTGTATATCTGCCTCTCCAATAAAAACAAATAAATCTTTAAAAAGAACAAGAAGAAGAAGTAGTAGAGTAGCCAGGACTCATAGCAGCACCCTTATGGGATGCCAGTGCTGCAGGTGGAGAATCAGTTTGCTTTGCCACTGCTCTGGCCCCTGTTTAGTCCTTTTGATAAGGTTAAGACATTGGTATGGTTAATCTTCATTTTACAAGGAGCATTAAGACTTAATTCTAAGTAGCTAGGATTTGATGCCATCCTGTCTGTCTTCAGCATCTGTGCTTCCATTATCCCAGCTCTCCATTTGCACCATATGCTCCTAGAAGAGCTACAAGAGAACAAAGGACACTCAAAGAGCAGGGAGGAGCAGACAAACCCCATCCAGAGAGGTAAGAACTCTTGAAA